ACACCGCACACGCCTGCTCATCACCTCCTCCTCAGGTCAGTTTAAAATTTGTACCTCGGCATGTTTGTGTGAGGCTGACATCTCCTCTGTTCCGTTTTTCTGACAGTGTCGCTGCAGCCATGTTGGGGAGCCTGCTCTTGGCCGTCCTGTGGGGGGGATTTCTGGGCGCCGACATCAGCCCAGCTCTGAATGGACACTGGGAGCTGTGGAAGAAGGCCCACAATAAAGTTTATTCGCATCAGGCAAGAGACTCTGGTTCAGATTTGGGGCATCTTAACTGGCAGATGGCTTCACGAAGTTGTTGTTGTTTTGTGAAGGTAGAAGAGTCGGGGCGCAGGCGGATCTGGGAAGAGAACCTGCTGATGATTAACGTTCACAACCTGGAGGCCACGCTGGGACTGCACACCTATGAGCTGGCCATGAACCACCTGGGAGACCTGGTAACAAGATTTCCATGGCAAATGTTTCATTTTTATATTATGAGCATTCCCCCTGCCCCGAACTGTTTCAATGATGGGATAAATTGATGCTAATCACAGAAGTGGGAATTAACATCTTTGTCACATAAGCACCACAAAAAAATCATCCTGCGCGCCCGGTACAATGTGGTGGAAAAAATGAGCACGTTAAGTCTGAATGTGAGCTCTGTTTTACAAAGCTAACGATGACTCAAGTTTATTTTGTTTCATCATTAGTTTGAAAGTGTCGACTAGGCTGGTTACAAAATCGCGTCTGAAAATAGGCTGCTGGGTGTTGTTTGTAGACCAAGGAGGAGGTGAGCGGCACTCTTACCGGCACAGTGGTGCCCTCTGACCTGGAGAGAATCCAGCTGAACTTCAACTGGGAGCAAAGCACGCTGCCGAAGTCGCTAGACTGGAGGAAGCGCGGCATGGTGACTGAAGTCAAAATACAGGTGAACCGCAATTTAAGATTGGCTCAGTGCAATTAGATTCATTCCTAACCATCTCCATTTTTGGCCCCCCATTTCTTCCAGTACATGTTAAGTTTTTGTCCAATCAGATTTCGGCCTCTGTGTGTTACCATGTCAATCACTACTTGACTTCAACAGTTTTCGCAATGAGACAGCTGTCCAATTAATCTCAAAGGGCCGGCCTGCCAATGTTTGAATTTTGCCATTCGCTGATTTGGTTGGTCAGAGCAAAACTTGTTGCAGTGAGCCCTCTCGTCATTCGATATTTGCAAATTTTCATCTCGTGGCAGCTCCACACAATGCGTCTGTGGCAGTAGTTGTATAAGGAGGTGACTTTTGAAATCCACTGGGTACCGCAACTTGTCGGCAGGGTTCTTGCGGCTCCTGCTGGGCCTTCAGCGCCGTGGGGGCTCTGGAGGGCCAGCTGAAGAAGAGAACGGGCAAGCTAACGTCACTGAGCCCCCAGAACCTGGTTGACTGCTCGCTGGACTTCGGCAATCATGGCTGCCATGGGGGCTTCATGACCAACGCCTTCCGCTACGTCAACAAGAATGGAGGCATAGACTCAGACTGGGCCTACCCCTACACGGCCAAGGTGAGGGCGGATTGCAATGAATTTTGATGACCAAAGTTGGGTGCTTTGTTGCTGAACTGACGCCTTCGCTATGCATTAGAGGTTGCTGCTTAAGCAAACGTGTTGATTGTCTTGTCAGCGTGGCGAGTGCGTGTACAAGCCTCAGGATCGGGCCGCCAACTGCTCTGGTTACTCCTTCGTCCCGAAAGGGGACGAAGACGCACTGAAGGTGGCCCTCGCTAATGTCGGCCCCATCTCGGTTGCCATTGATGCTTCACGCTCCAATTTTCACTTCTACCGCAATGGTGAGTCGAACTTTAACGTCTTACGACCCCCAGATTAATCTTTTTTTTTTTTTTGCCCCCCGATTTATTTTTTTTTTTTTTTTGGGGGGGGGGGGGATTTCTTATTAGGTGTATATGAGGACCTGGCATGTAGCCACAAAGTGAACCACGGTGTGCTGGCTGTGGGCTATGGCACGGAAAGAGGACGAGACTACTGGCTGGTAAAGAACAGGTATGTCATTGTTTTGAAATGTGAATTTTATTTTTGAAACTGATTTTAAGTCACCACCCCCCTTACCCCAACTGTATGGCAGCTGGGGTGTGAAATTTGGTGACCAAGGTTACATCAAGATGGCTCGCAACAGACTGAACCAGTGTGGCATCGCGCTCCACGCCTGCTTCCCAGTCATGTGACCGCCACATCCTGCATGGAGTACAGCAGTTCGGCTTGTTTTAAGAATAACTAATAAAGTGAATTTGACCTTAAAGTCTACTCTTAGTACATGTGCTAATTTTATCAAGGGTTTTAAAACAACTTGGGGGGGGGGGGTGGGGGGGGAATATCCAATTTGAGGTTGGCAGGGTGCAGTTTGTGGCTCTAATTGGATATTAGGTTTGGAAACGGATAGTAAATGACTTTTTTTTGTTTTTTTTATAATGCGAACAGCAACATTAAAATCCATCTCAATTTTTCACGTTTGTCTGGTACAAGTGTAGCTTGATCTTCAATGCATTTCTAAAACTAAAATGGATGGAGCGCGAGATACGAATGGAAAAACTGAAGCGGTCCCCTACATTTCTTACACTGTCCACAAGACGGCGCTATGTTTTCCTGCTCGCCATGCATTCAAGTCTACGGTCATCTTGAATACGCTTCATTTTTTTTGGCCATTCTGTCACCCTACAAATTTTTTTTTTTTACACATGCAGTATATTATGGTATTTTTCCCTCCACTCGTTTGTTGAATTTTGCTGATCTTTATTTTTGTATTTAACCTCTGAACACAACTCTCAAAAGAATGACATCACTTTTTTTATTTCCGCATCACCAATATATTCAGATTTGAAATCACCAAGAATCCATTTGTCATTTACAAAACAAAGACAACACGCCATAAAATTTTGGTGCAGATTTTTTTCCCCCAAACCATTTTCCTGAATGTTCCACAAATTCCATACTTGCACATCGTTATTTTCTTTTTATACATGGTACATTAATTCTTCGATTTGAACTCACATTTAGAGTAGTTACAGTTGATATAAACAAGGCAAACTAAAAATAACCATTCAAGTGTAATGCATTCTCACAGTTCCTCATTTCCTGGCATGGGGAATGTCCTTGTGCTGCTTTAAAAGGGGTGGTGGAAACAGTCCTCCAATACTTTATCTTGACCAGAAAAGACTTCATTTCAACCATAGGAATCCACATAGTGTAGCTAACATGAACTCTGTGTCTCTCTCTTTTTCTATCTATAGATAAAAACATTTAATGGTTGAACCTTTTGAGGGCATTCTTTGGATAAATGTGAGCAGGAAAGGCTTCAGTTTATCCCAATCTAAGCTGGACAAGCTTTTATTTTTTATTTATCCCCCCTACCCCTCAATAGCTGACATAAGCATCTTTTTTGACAATTTTTGTGAATATATTTTAAATATGTTCGCCTATACTAAAGAAAATAAGTAAACATATTGAAATCCTATTCAAAACATATTCATGTATTTTAGAAATATTGAAAATATATTTTTAATGGAATAAATTTTAAATGTTTTCTACACAAACGAATACATACGTGTGTGTGTATATATACACACACACACACACATTTTAAACATTTCTTTTTAATCATATCTTCAAAAGATATTTACACATTCAAAACATATAGTAATATATTTTAAATATGTATTCAAAATAGTTGCATGTTTCACACATTCCAAGTTTTTAATATTTATATTCTAAATATTTTGCATATGAACTTTAAATGTATTTGTGATATATATATGAGATATATTTAAGATATTTTTCAATATTCCTAAAATATTTTCATACTTTTCAAACATTTAATATTAATGTATTTGAAACCCGTCTAATCACAAATTCATCCAAAACAGATAAACCAGATCAAGGAGGACCATAGCCACCACTTTCTGAACACGTTTCACCAATGTAAAAACCCCACTTTGATCAAGAACAATCACTGCAAGCAACAAACACCGACGTCATCACCATCGTCAGCGACATCGTCGAACAATGGAAGGAGGACGGGGAAAAAAACAAACAAAAAAAAAAGCTACTTGTCGCGTTTTCAAAGACACAAACGGCCGGCACATGAAAGACGTCTCAAAAAGTCAGACAACACGACACGAACATGCGTCACGATTGCACAGCGAATTGAGTTGGTCTTTTTTTTTTTTTTCAGTCTCTGTGTTCTTCATGTTTAGGCTAAGCTCAGCCAACTGCTAAGTTGCATTATAACGTAAACTCTTTTGTAAAAACTCTCTCAAACGTGGACAAAACTGGTTCGGAAAGTTTGAGGGATGAAAAGAATGTTGAAGGTGTAAAAAACAAAAACAGCTCGTATGGATTACATAACAGTCAAACTGTGTCAAAATAAATTCAATGTCCTCCTGATGGGTTCAGTTAGGGTCAAGGATCATATTTTTTTGAAAACATGGGGATAGCTGGATGTTTTTTTTTTTTTTTTTTAACTCGCTGTTTTCCATACATGATTATCCTCAACTAAGCCGCTAAATTGCACATGAATCACTTCAAGACACTTACTTTGGTGCAAACTATCTCTTAAACATAGACAAAAATGGCTTTTTAGGGTTAGAAATAGGCTACTTTTATTTGACTTGGTAGCTTTAGATATTAAAAAAAAAAAAAAAAGGGAAACAGCTCGGTTCGCTGATGGTGCGCCCTGCGACTGACCGGTAACTAGTTCAGTGTCAGCTGGGACAGGCTCTGACACCCCCCGTTGGGATAGATGGAAACAGTTGACCCAAAACGTTACTAGTCAAATATTTTTACAGATGTATCCCAAGGTGGGCTCAGTTATAGTTCTCCTCACATCTTTTAAAGAAAACAGGCACAATGGGGTCTGATATTTATGATTATTTTTTTTACGTAAAGTTAGCTGCTTTTCATAAATATTTTACGTCGTGTGATCTCAAACATGAGCAAAATTTGTTACTATACTTTTTTTTTTTTTTTGAGGGGGCAGTGGTACTCTCCTTTGAGTCGTTAGCCTAGTTTAGCATAAAAAATACAAGAAGCAGCCTGCTTGGGTGGCTAACAGTCAAAGTTGTGGAATGAATGGTGACGACTTTTTCGAAATGTTGTAAAAATGTAAACATAACAAGACGCTATTTTGTGTATTGTAACTTCAAGCTAATAGGCAAGCTAGTTGTTTTCCTCCAGTGTTAACGCTAAGCTAACTGATGTTTAGGCTCTGTGGAAAAAAAGGAGAGGAGTGTATAGCCCACATGGATGCACACAAAATGAAATCCTCAGTAGTTGATTGTCAGCACACAAGCTGGATGTTAAATATCGGGGAACTAATGTTCCTTTTTTTTTTTTTAACTCAAATGAAATGTTTTGTCACGCTTTGTGCCTTTATGTAATCAGTCACTCTCATGCAGCAATGTTTCTTTTGGTCCTGTTTTGTGTTTTTGACTAACATGAATTTCAATGAGAAATAATCGAAGCGTCCTGAGGACATTCAGCTGGGAATACAGGCGGACGAATTGGCCTCAAAATGGCCGCTTCCCACCCAAATGGCCATCTTACTGTTGGATTTCAGGGACGGGTCTTTGAGACTTGTGTCTGTGCATCCTGTTACGATAGCGCCATCTTCCAAATTCGGTGTCGATCAGTAAAACTGGCAATGGGGGATAATTTAATGTAATTTCGTTTTACAGGAGCGCTGCGAAGTTAGCTTAGCTGGGTTGTAGTGTGAAAAGCAAATAGATTAGCTCCTGAAACCAGTTTTGTGTTTGGTACACAAGTGGGACACGAAAAGGACCCGAAATCGAACATGAAACCAGCCATTTTGGATCGATGCACCCATTTTGGGCGAATCGGACGTTTTAAAATACTAAATGAAAACACTCACCTGAGCTAGTGCTCTGATGTGTTTTTTACAAGGATGTAAACTCTGCCTACTCTCAGTACATTCTGCTTTTGAGAACCAGTCGGCTGTATTCCAAGTGAAGAAAAAAAGAAATTGTGAAATGACGCAAGTTTTCCCACACTCACATGCAACACACACGCCTGCATCAGAAAACAAATGGGAATCCCCTGAGGTCGATACTAATCCCCCTCCAAAGAAGATGATGTCATCTACATCGAGGAGCATTCTGGGGCTTCCAAAAAAAAAATAATGTGGATGCAGAGTTTGTAAGAGGCGGCGCTTAGACTCCGACCCCCCGCCACCTTGCTGATGCCAGCGGTTACTACTGCAGCACCTGGCCCCGGGTTTCGGGTAACTTTGTGGCAAGGAAGCTCCCTGCAGCCAGCGCAGCGGCGGCAAACAAGATGGGCACGGCCTTGGTGATGCCCACGAAGGACTGGAAGATGCTGATGCCCAGTACGGCTGCCAGCTTGCACAAGGCGTTCAGGAAGCCAAAGGCCGTGGTCCTGAACGCAACACCAAATGTCTACGTTTCAGGGTAGGGTACTACTACAGACACTATCAAGAAAGAGTCTATTAGATGGAGAGTTTTCATTGAACAATATATTTTGAAAGGGGGCATTCATTTGAGAGTGAAGGCGACTTGTACACGCCCCCCCCCTAGTTTTCGCGCGAAAGAATGCCTTCACAGAGGAGGTCTAAATATTGTCAAAGAAAATACGTTTTGCTATTATGAACAAAATACAGCACGTATTATTAGTGTTATTAATGAGGAGGCCATTATTTTAAATTATAAATACGTATACAAGCCCCCCCCCCAAAAGAGCCTTTATTCATGTTTATTTTTGTTTGATGATATACATTAGTAGCATGCAGATTTGAGTTGAATGATTGCATTTCTATTTGTCTTCAAATAGATGAAGTGTATCGTATTGTTAGCCACCCACCGAGGATGTGACGTTACCTTTTATCAGACGGGTAGAGCTCAACGGTGATGACGTCAAGGGCATTCCAGGAGGCGATGCTTATGCCGCCGAAGAGACAAAGGAGGGCGATCATGCCCGACTCGCTGTTGCCGAACATCAGGAAGAAGCAGCTGATGCACGAAATGACACTGGAACCCGCTGCGTGGATTAAGGGAAAAAAAAAGGTTGAAGGTTTATGATTAAGTACAGCAATGCTAATTGCGTTAGCCTGTCGAGAGCATTTTGTACAATATGTTGGCGTGAAGCGAGGGGCCTTTCATCAAAAAAGCTTGTAAAGTTTTTGCGTCTAAACAATGTTTGAGGGTGACATCATTGCGCTTACCCAACATCCTCAAACGGCCAATTTTGTCCATGAGCAGAGCCGACACGATGTTGCCGGGCAACACGGCCAGAGTTCCCAGGAAGTTGACGAAGTAGATCATGTAGGCGTTGTTGAAGTCGTCGCTGAAGTCCAGCATGCAGCCCTCCTTGTTGTGCAGGAAGGTGCTGTTCACCAGCTTGGAGTCCACAAACCGGTACTTGAACAAATCTGCACCACAGACACGACCATTTCACGAAGGCGGTGAATGCGTCACGGTGCAACGTGCGGTGTTTCCCCAACCTTTTACTGAGCGGAGCCACATATTGTACGTCGGCCCATGACACAAACGAGCAAACAAAATGTCACAAAAACAATATGTGGCTCTCATTAATTGGTGAACAAGATCCCGTCTCAGTCTCCGTGGCCATGGTAACAGTTCCGAGGGTTAAGCGCAACCGCGGCGACTGAAGCGACTCTAGGCTCTGACTGCAGGTTTGTGTGTCGTACCCGTGTTGTAAAACAAGCTGGCGATGAAGGTGCAGTTACGGAAAACGGTGTGTGTGGATGTGATGTCTTCGAAGTAGCACTCCTCGAACACCGAGTCCTCAAACACCATCGACTTCATCTTCAGATTGAGGAACCTGCGGAGGAGGGGGGTGGGGGTGGAATTCTGTCTCATTTTGTTGTATAGTCGAACCCCGTGACAATTTACATCAAGGGACATTACGAATCTGTACGTTACAACGGCAGTTCATCATAACCATTGCCAATAAAATGGCCGCCGCCGACTGCCATGTATAATGCAGTATAAACATTTATAGATGTAAAAACATGTCATACAGGATAAACACGTCAATTAAAATATGAGTAGATGAAGTCAAAATGATTTTATAAGACGTGAAACAAACAACTGTAGCGTTCCTACTTCCAACGGAGGGGAATACCGCGCTGTACATTTGTTTCCAAAACAAGGTCGTGGCGGCTTCCCAAAGGCCTTTTCACTCTTTTGTGGGGAAAAATCTGGTCGTTCTTATGAAGTTGACGTGATAAAAGTTGTTCGTTGTAAGCAAAATTGGCAAATAGAAAATAAATGACGTGAAATCGGGACTTTGAAGTACTAACGTTATAGTGGTGCAAACACCAACATTGAAACGAGGTTCGACTGTCTCACAAAAAAAAAAAAAAAAACATTTGAACACGGGTGTGTACACTTTTTATATGCCCTGCGTAAAAAGCCACTCACTTGTCGTTGAAGTAGTAACCCTGGCGGTGCACCTGATTTTCCAGCGTAAAGTTAAAGGTGACATGCTCCACACGCTCCTTGCTGAAGGTCTTAGTGCGCGACTCGTACTCCTGCTTCTGGATGTACTTGATCATGTCCGGGAACCACACGGTCAGGCCGTAGTAGCTGGGAGAAAAAAAAAGAAAAAAACATGACAACAACAAAATATATATTTAATTCATTCGTCAAAAATGTCAAGCGCTCGACAGCACGAATCAATCTATGTATTCATTTATTTATTAGTGATTACCTGAAGGACATGCTGAACCAAACAGCCATGAGCATGAAAGTGGTCCGCTTGTATTCCGGGCTGAAGCAGGCAAGAATGTTATTCCGGATCTATCGTAATCAAAATGAACATGAGTTAAGCAACTAAAAAACAAAATCCACATGGAAAGGTGTTTACAGGGTGTAGAGTGCATACAAAGGCAACAGGTGGCGCAATAACCCCGAAATGGAAGCTCAATTTAGCCAATCCAAAACCACAAAGGAAGGCATACCAGTCGTCTGAAAGTGATTGTTCACATCTACGCTAATTTAAATCAGCTCATATATGGTATTTCGCATTATATGTTAGCATTAAGCTAGCAGACTTTCGCTAAATGAAAATACAGTACAGTATACGGTTTGTTTGAACATCTTGGTGTTGAAAAATACAATTTTACATTTTTTTGGCTTTGCTTTATTTGTTTGACAGTAATATATCGCTGGTGGAAGATATCCTGGTGACAAACAGGGGTTTTCCGCATCTTGATTTGCATCTCACCTGACGGGAGAGACTCATAATTTTGAGGCGATAGCGCTGCCAGACAGGTGTGTCGGTGCCACCTTCCGCCAACTCGTCCACCTGCTTCACTGTCTTGATGGTGGTCACCTTGGATGGAAAAATGTCACTGTTGGTTTAATAATGAATATGGAGAGTGACAATTTGTCCTGGTTTTTACCGTCACCATGGTAGCTTACACACACACACACACACACACACACACACACACACACACACACACACACACACAAAAAGGAAAAAAAAAAGCAATCACGGTAAAGACTTTCTCTGGGTGTCCCTTGGCTCGCATGTTAGTGTCATGGACTTGCTTGAGGATCATCCAGCCTTCGTCGTGTTTGCCGTTCTGTTCCCAGAAAAAAAGCAAGCAGAGTTTTTGCCCGTTCAGTCTCAAACGGCGTCGGGTCGACAGACCGACCGACCGACCGACCTCCAAGTAGAAGCGTGGACTCTCGGGCATGGCATTGAGGGCGGCGATGGCGGCGACCGAGGGGAAGGCGCAGACCAGAACAAAGACGCGCCAGCTGTGGAACTGGTAGGCCGAACCCATCTGGAAGCTCCATCCTGAGAGAATAGAGAAAACACTTCAAATGCCGCGCCTCAGGAAATAAATAGAAAATGCCTTCCTCAAATAGACATTTGCTTTTTCCCCCATCAGTGAAAAAACAGGTGGTAACTGAAATCATGTGGGGTCAGAGACACTTTTGTTAGCAAGGAAAAAAAAAAAACTCCTCCTTCAAATAAATGGCCGTCTAAATGCCTCACTCAAATAGATGCCCGCCAATCCCCTTCAGAAAAAAACAGGTTGCAGTTTTTCGTCGTGTCAGGTGATGGCTGGCATTGACGGAATGCGTAATTTGCTGAAGGCCAATCAAAACCATCCCCAAATAGACGCCCCCCTCCCTCCCATTAGGAAAAGAACAGACCCGGTAGTAAGCGGGAATCACATCAGTTCACAGAAACTGCTGTTCACAAATAAACAATAAACACCTCCCTCCAATAGATGGCGCTCTTTGTCCATGTATAGTTGTGGAAATAAAGACCTGTCTTGTAATTGACCGTCATGGCACGGCAACTCACCGTAATGGGGGATGATGGCCCACGCCATGGCAGAGGCGTAGATGCCGCCGATCATCCAGAACATGCAAAGCCAGCTGAGGTGCTCACCTCGCTTCTCCTGAGACAGAAACTCCGAGTAGTAGGAGAAGACGATGGGGATGGAGCCGCCGATCCTGACACGATCGCAAATGTCAATCCAACCATTTTCTTGGTATTTTACCCTTGAAGACGTGTATGTGTCTGGCGATAGATTTGTTTTATTTACCCGACGCCCGAGAGCAGCCTGCAGAAGAGGAAGGTGCTGTATCCCTGCACGAAGGACGAGAAGAAGGAGAAGATGCTGTTGATGGACAGCGAGATGAGAAGCGACTGGCGGCGACCGATCCGGTCGGCCATGGCGCCCCACAAGAACGCTCCCACCATCATCCCGAAATACACAATCAGACCTGAGGACGCACAAATGACACAAATGTTATCGTAGTTGTCGGACACAATATTAGGTACACCTGCACAATCCAGTCAAAAAGCTTTCATATCCACGACGACGATGCTCACTTTTGAGCGACGCTGTCACTCAAGGCATATGGAAAGAAAAAAAAAAAAACGACATTTCTTTTGACTGCACGTGTTCAGACATGACTCAGGAAAACGAACTTGTCGGTGCATTGCGATGCAAACGAACGTACCCAGCATGCTCTTGTTGGGCTCGGACAGACACATGTCCCTCTCGGCGCTGGGCAGGACGAAGCCCACCACGAAGATCTCCACGCCGTCGGCCATGAGCGCCAAGCCCAGTACGAAGTAGAGCGTCCACTGGAACTTTCCGTGGCCGCACTCCTGCAGGATGCTCTCGTACTGCTGCGCCAGCTCCTCCTGGTCTTTACGCCTCTCCGCCTCGGACGCCGCCACATCCCGGAACGGCTGCGGGACCGAGCCGGGCCCGCCGGCCAGGTTGCCCTTATCTGACTCGGCCCGGGGGATGCCCTGGTACTCGCCCTCGTAAATCTCGTCATCCTCATCGTGGCCCTCGGTGGAGTCGCTGCGTCCGCCCTCGTCGTCGTCGTCGGCCGCCTGGCTGTCGCCGCGGTAGTAGCCGCCGCCGCCGCCGCCCTGCGCCGTGTAATCGTCATCGTCGTCCTCCTCGAAGCGGCTGTAGGAGCGGCGGCTGTACTCGTCGTTGACGCGGTCCACGCTGCGGGCCACCTTCTTGGAGGCCTGGCGCTTGACCTCCTTGGCGATGTCTTTGGCGCCTTTGATGAAGGCCGTCCGGTTCTGGTAGCCGTCCTCCATCTTGTGCTCGACGCTCAGCTTTTAGTGGGATGAGTTCACCGACTGGAAGGGAAAAGCAAAACTCTGTTTTGAGGTGCAGAAATAAACAAAAATGCTTTTCTTTCACAGAGAGCGCAGTTGAAATGAAGGTTTAGTTTAAATTTTGACGCAGAGTGAGCAGAGATTGCGAGGTCAGCCGTGGCCGAGAGGTCATTGTTTCTCACACCAACCACAATCAGGATTTCATGAAGAATTAATAAATCAACTAAAATGCACACATATCCCACCCTTGCCCAGCAGACTCCATCTAAGTGAAGAGCAACGTTTTGCTGATCTTAATTTACTTGATAAGGCTCTGTACTCTAACCCCATCTAATATTCAAATAGAATAAAAGAGACTAATGAATTCACAGTTGTCCATCGTGGTTATTCTTTTACTCACTCGTTCTCTAAATTTTAACAAGATTTAACACCGTGGTGGCATATAAATAACACGGGCCGCCCGGGCTGCTCAAATAATAATAATAAGAAAGTGCTAAAACAAGCCAGGCTTGAAATTGATTGTTCATGAAAGTATGCCCAATCGTGTGTAACAAAAACATCATCATCATCGCTTCTTTTTTTAATAGCACAAATACCCAAAAGAAGTCCGGTCATGTTTGGACAAAGTCCACCGGCAAGTGTTTGCTCTTCTTCTGGTTCCTCAGGGGACACCAGACTTTTGCATTGAGTGGGAGAGCACTGCTGTGTGTCTGTGTCTGTAATACAATAAAACAACATGTCATGTGGTGTTTGCCAGGATGGGCCGAGGAGGGGCTTTCAGCATCCCCTTTTGAGGTCGGCAGGTGATAAGGGTCTAGTCAAAAATATTACGCACACCTAAAACGACGGTTCTCAAAGGAGACTACTACATCTGCTATACTTTAAAATATGAAAATTAAAAATGAGAATGAATATCTTTGTGAGGGCACACTTTCTGACTGGATCTTTAGAAACCCTGCTTTTGTGGATGGAGTACAGGAGGATGGATGGATAGATGGTTGAGATAGACGGAGAGGGAGTGGGAGCGAGACAACAATGTTTTCAGTATGTCCCTGAAGGCATCGTGTACCATTTTGCTGATTGGTAGAGCACAATTTGGAAATTTGTTGAGGAAAGCTGGGATTTCAGGCTGTTGCTGAAGCCAACAGCATGAATTAGGTAGACAGACTTGACATAAACATTTAAGATTTAAAGCCAAGAACCATTTAAGATTAAAAGCCATTTCAGACAGTCTCTGAAGGTAACACACACACAGTATTTTATTTATATTATATATATATTCAGCAAAACGCGCTATGCCTACGCACACACCGAAAGCCAGCAAATGAACTGCATTTCCAAGGCACATTTTACAGGTGGCCTCGTGCCCCATTCAAGAAAAACCAACATTGCCATCGCTTCCATTTGTACATCCAATAAATAAATAAACATCGTCTAACCTCGCTATACTTGCACGCGCGCTTGCTGTTATTGTGCGCTGTTTGCATTAGGCTCTCGCAGGTGCAATTGTGCAAATGAAGCCTCCGGTGCATTCATAACGGGGAGGAGG